AAGTTTTAGGTCGGTTTAGTTGCGAAAATGCAGAAAGATAACAAGGAATTAGTGATCGGTGGTACTCTTCAACAGAAAATTTCGAGCTGTCTCAACGTCTTGGACCGATTATTGAACCAAGAGGAACCAATAGTGTCCTCAATGGTAGTGGCAGAAAAACGCGATAAAAGAATCAGAGGTGAAACACCAGTCGATGCAGTTTGTGCCATTTTAGGCATTCAAGACATGAAAACAATAAACCAACAATCAACTTTATCCGAACTTGGAATGGACTCAATTCTAGGAAGCGAAATTTTACAAACATTAGAAAAAGACTTTGATATTTTTATTCCACCAAAAGATTTAAGAAATATGACGTTTGCAAAGTAAATAAAAATTTTTGTCGGTAATTTGAAACAACAAAGTTAATTTTTACAGATTGGTCGATCTCCAAAGCCAAAAAAACACCAAAACTCAAATCGAAAAAATCGATCAAGGCACTAAAGCCCTAATTCAGTTTGTACCAGATAGTGGTTCCGAAGATTTACCTTTTATCAAACTCCAAAGTTTGGCAAATGAAAATCAACAAGTCCCAACAATTTTCGTATTACCAGGAATTGAAGGTGTGGTCAAATTAGTTGAACCTTTGAGTCAAAAACTCAAAGCTGACGTTTTTGGACTCCAATATTCTTTTAAAAATCCCGAGGACTCAGTCCAAGAAATTGCGTTTAAAATTCTTCCGGTAACACATTCCCATTTAATTTTTTTTTCAACTGTTTGGTTTATTTATCCAGCATGTGAAACAACTACTAAAAGAGGAGAAAAACTTCACTTTTATTGCATACTCATTCGGGGTACTTGTTGCCATTGAACTGGTCTCTCTCCTCGAAGAAGAAAATTATTCCGGGAGAATTTTCGCAATTGATGGGGCCCCTAAATACCTGAAAACGTCAATTTTACAGCAAATTTCCGGAACCAACGAAACTGAATTTGAAACTTTCATCATTTACACAGTTTTAGCTCATTTCCTTCCAGTTGAATTTCTAGATAAACACAAAGAGAAGTTATTAAGTTGTGAGAATTTTAATGAGAGGATTGAAACGGCAACTACTTTGGTACCACCCGAGTTATTAAAAAATGAAAAAATGGACAAACAAGCTTTGATCACTTTCCATAAACGATACAAGGCAATTCGTGAATACCAAACACAGAAAAGGAAACTTCAATCAGTGATGAAACTCTACAAAGCGGAATTTCCACTAGTCGAAAATATGGAAGAAGATTACAATTTGGCGGAATTTTGTCAAGAAAAAGTCCAAGTGTTGAGTTTAAAAGGAAATCATTTCACAATTGTTGAACAAAATGAACTTGCTGAAGACATCACTAAAGAATTGGAGCTTTGAGAGATTTAAAATCTTAAAACTGTATTCTCTAAGTTTAAAAATAAAGCAATTTTGTTAAATTATATTGAATTTCATTCCAATATCATAGATTTAGTACCAATTACACGTCACGTGACCATATTTATCTATAATTAACCTCAATTATTTCCAGTAGAAAAGAGTTCTTTAGATAATTTTGAAGAATGATCAAAATGTTTAGTTTTTAAAAAAAATTGGTACTTTTGTGATCAAAGTACCTCATTATTTCAGTAAATAATTAAAAAAAATGATTTTTATTGTTAGAAATGGGAAATAAATTGGTACCACCAAAAATAAACACCAAACATAACTTTTAATAAAAGTGGTACCAACTTAATGTTTTCGTTTTTTTTGTTTTTTTTTTATTTCTGATATAAGCAATTGTGCCCAAATTTATATACCAAAAATTTTACGTTAAAATCACTTTTTGAGGGTTTTTTAAGTCCGGTACTTAATGGTACTACCACGTCAACATGAAAAAATTTAATTTTTTCAATAATTATTCTACGTCACTTGCTATGGGAGCAAAATCATTTTAAAAATTTATCTAAAATTATTCACACGAGTAACATACAAAATTTTTCCAACTATTCAACAAACAAAAATATAAAATAATAATTTCGTTAAGTGTAATCCACTACTATTATGTTTAATTCGATGAAAAAAACTTTTAATAAAAGTAGTAAAAAAACAATTTTTTTAATAACTATTCATAGAAAATTAAATAAATATAATAAAAAATCAAGTACCACTCAAACACTAATAAAAAATTTTCATGGTACTATAACCACTAGTTGTTTTTTACTTGTAATGGTACCAAAAAATAATACAAATAAAGCAAAATTTAGACTAAGTACCGCGAAATAGTACTCTTTAGTACCTCCAAAAAAATTTAATAAATAATTATACACAACATAATTATAAAAGTAAAAAAATCAAAAAATTCTACTAAATTTCCCCCTCTCAATCGATCGCCAATTGTTTAAAACTGCCTTCCAATCCAAACAACTCCTCATGACACGTGGGTTTCCCCGGCCGTTTTGATTCGTCAGCTTTCACCCCTTCCTCTTTCTCAAACCACGCCTTCTCCCTTTTCGACGCCTCTATCCACTTCTCCATATGTTCATTGACCTTCCCTGCAGTCCCCCCAAACTCCTCCGGGAGCAACTCCCTTGGAACAAACCGGAACAACGACTCCAAATCCGGATGTACATGAATCCTCTTCCGGATTTTCTCCTTCAAAAACGGCGACACCCACTTGATTATAAAATCAACAAGAGGCGTGGCATTGATCACGTGAACTTCCTTGACCTTGACAGGATACGCCTCTTGTACACAAACAAAAAACTTCTTAACAATTGCTGGTGAAACTTTCACGAAATGCTTCAAAATGGCAACACTGGCATCAAGTACGTATACGTCACCAGCCACGCCCACTTTTTCCATTCGGAGACGTAAATCCCCCAACATAAGTGCGATTTTCATAAAGTTGGCTATGTCAGGTGTGTCAAAATCAACAGCTGATGCACCAGCAACTGTCACACGTTTACAGTCGGCTGTTAAGCCGGGCATAACGGACGCACGCCTGCCAATCAAAATATAGTTAGGGCGGAGTTTGGTTTTAAAGGCGGAGCTTACATCAATTTTATGATTTCCTGGAGTTCGGGACGTGTGACGTCACGATTGGTGAAAAATTCGGGAATTGCGGCTCGCATTGTGAAATACATGTCGATTTTGCGTTTTGTGCGCTCGAGGGAGAAGTTACAACCACGCAAGAAGTTCATTAAAGCGACGTCATCTGAAAAATACACTCACGAGTTACATACAAGATTTTAACTATTTATACAAAGTGTTCGAATAATCGTATTTATTTAAAAATTGGTACATAGCCATAATCCATTAAGTCCTCCTAAATGAAAATATTTTCAAGATGGCGGCACTTCCGGTTATACCGGAAGTCGGTCTCAACTTACTTATTTTAAATGGAAAGCTATATTTTTATTGCGTTTTTGGATTAATCGAGTTATTTTAAAGAAGTTTATATTAGCTCTCCCTATACTTAAATTTAGCCGTTTTTGAAATATTTGGAGTTTTTCGAAAATTTTTGGATCTGCACTTTCCAATTTAAAAATCGGTAACTCTACCATTCTTTAAAATTTTGATTCGTTTTTTTAGCGTTTAAAAGAGAAGGCTTAGATCTTTCTTCTGGAAGTTTTCAAATTTTGGAAAAAAAATTTAAAACCCCAAAATTTTAAGGTTACTTTTGTAATAATTTAGCTAATCGCAGTCTAAACAAATAGTCACCATAACTTAAAAATTATTAAATTTAGGTATAGGAAGTGTTAATACAGATCGATGCAGAATTAAATTCTCTTACATTTAGTAAAATAAAAATTGGGGTATTTTATTTAGAAAAATTGAGTTATGGGTATTTGAATTATTAAAAAAGTAACCTTAAAATTTTAGGGTGTGTTAATTTTTTTTTTCAAAATTTGATAACACCAAAAGAAAGATCTAAGCTTTCTCTTTCAAACGCCAAAAAAACGAATTCAAAATCTTAAAAAATGGCAGAGTTACTGATTTTTAAAGTGGAAGGTGCAGATACAAAAATTATTGTAAAACTCCAAATATTTCAAAAACGGCTAAATTTAGGTATAGGGAAAGCTGATGAAAACTCCCTTAAAATAACTCGATTAATCCAAAAACGCAGTAAAAAATATACCTTTCCATTTAAAATAAGAAAGTTGAGACCGACTTCCGGTATAACCGGAAATGCCACAATCTTGAAAATATTTTCATTTAAAAGAACTTAATGGTTTATGGCTATGTACCAATTTTCAAATAAATACGATTATTCTAACTCTCAATACTTCTAATGTGGTGTTTAGACGAAACACCCTGTATAAAACAATATACTACGAATATTTAAAGTTTTTTTTTTATTTTTAACAAGCACGTGTACCCAAGTTTACAAATACCAAAAATTTTACGATTATTTTGCTTTTTTGATGTCCGGTACTTAATAGTACTACCACATACACTAAAATTATACACACGAGTAACATACAAAAATTTTTCAACTATACAACAAACAAAATTATAAAATAATAATTTCATTAAGTGTAATCCACTACTATTATGTTTAACTCAATGAAAAAAACTTTTAATAAAAGTGGTACCAACTTAATATATTGTCGTTTTTTTTGTTTTTTTTTTATTTCTGATAAAAGCAATTGTGCCCAAATTTAAATATACCGAAAATTTTACGTTAATGTCACTTTTTTGAGGGTTTTTTAAGTCCGGTACTTAATGGTACTACCACGTCAACATAAAAAAATTGAATTGAAAAATATAAAATAATAATTCCGTTAAGTGTAATCCACTACTACTATGTTTAATTCGATGAAAAAAACTTTTAATAAAAGTGGTACCAACTTAATATTGTCGTTTTTTTTGTTTTTTTTTATTTCTGATAAAAGCAATTGTGCCCAAGTTTAAATATACCAAAAATTTTACGTTAATGTCACTTTCTTGAGGGTTTTTTAAGTCCGGTACTTAATGGTACTACCACGTCAACATGAGAAAAATTAATTTTTTGGATAATTATTCTACGTCACTTGCGATGGGAGCAAAACCAGTTTAAAATTATACACACGAGTAAAATACAACATTTTTTCAACTATTCAACAAACAAAATTGTAAAATAATAATTTCGTTAAGTGTAATCCACTACTATCATGTTTAATTCAATGAAAAAAACTTTTAATAAAAGTGGTACCAACTTAATATTGTCGTTTTTTTTATTTCTGATAAAAGCAATTGTACCCAAGTTTAAATATACCGAAAATTTTACGTCAATGTCACTTTTTTGATGTTTTTTTAAGTCCGGTACTTAATAGTACTACCTAAAACTCGACCAAAATGTGTAAAAATGTGTCAGAAACCAGTTCAAAAGTTCACTTTCACGCACTAATAATAATGATAATGGCCTACCCCAGGTGTCCGGAAGATGCGGTTCTTTCCTCAACCACTCTTTAATCGCCTCCAAGTCTCTTTGTCTCGTGTTAACATCTTCATTGAGGGCAGCTCTTACCACTTTCTGTTGCTCTTCGTCGGGTATTACAAGAGACATGATGTCAACGACTGGATGAAGTATGTCGAAAACGAGTCGCGTGTTTCAGCCTTGGTGGAGGTAACGTCAAGAGCAAGGATCTCCAAAACCGGTTGGTAGAAATGACCATGACATGAGAAATACGAAGTAGGCGATTTGCGTAAGCGGAATATTGGTCAGGGGTTGGAAACCCGGCCTTAAGACAGGTCAAATTATTATTAATTGAGCTTTTAGAAAGTTGTGACAACAATAGTTAAAAATCAATTAGTTTTCACTTTTTGCTCCAAGTGGAAATTAATTGAAATGGTAGTACCAAGAAAAAATTTTAATTAGTTTTTGTTTAAAAAAAAAAGAAAAAAATTGTTTTTGGTGTGAACAATACAAAAATGTCAAAAAACGGATATTTTTCTTTCTGTTTTAAGGGATTTTCACGTGTGGTACCCAACAGTACTACCAAAAACTATATTTTTTTTTGGTACGAATAAATTTCATTTTTTTTGCACATAAGCACTAAAATAGTTTTGTCATTTGTTTAGCAAAATAAGAATAATTTTTTTAATTAATTGATTTATTAAAAGTCTAGTTTAGGCAACCAGTAATATTATTCTGTAAAGTTGTATGACTTGTG